TAACAGGCTGAAGGGTCTCACCTGCTAGACTTCTGCTCATCTCGTCACTGGGACCACCATGTCCTGAGATGTCCTCAGACACTGCAGGGCTGTCAGATAGAAGGAAGAGGGAAACGCACACACACACACACACACACACACACACACACACACACACACACACACACACACACACACACACACACGTAAGTGACCCTGTCACAGCATCTCAAGTCAGAGCTGGTGGTCCCAGTGGGTCTCTCTGTGTTATCTGCTTGATGCAGATCCTCCCTTTGGAGAACATAGATACACGTAACTCTAGAAGCCCCCCAGCGCTGGGGGGTCCGGATACGCCGCCCCACCTTCAGCCGCTCCGGTGTCGGGTCAGCGTCTCCCTGTCCTTGTTTTTCTGGTCTGTGGACATCTGGAGCTCGGAGGCCTCCACGCCTTCATCCAGATGAGCAAACAGATGTGTTGTTAAAACGTCCACATTAAGGAGGCGGGACACGACCTGTCCGTCAAACCAGAGACCAGCTCAGGACCTTGTTGTTTATTTTCTCCTCATCCACATCCGTCCTGCTCCAAATCCTCTGTTCTGATTGGACGTCTGTGCGCCTCGCGTTAAACTGAGGCTCCGCCCACGTTCATTGTTATTCCCCCCCCACCTGTGTGTGTGTGTGTGTGTGTGTGTGTGTGTGGGCCCATCTGTTCCCAGCGTGTTGCGTTTGAGGAGCGGCCGGAACTTTTTCCAGTGGGTGTCGTCGGATTCCTGATTGTTTTTCTCCGGATGTGTTATCGCCGGATTATTAATGATATTATTATTATTATTATTATTATTAGGGAGCATCTGTATTTCTGGGACATGTTCTTCTCCTTTCCTCTCTCCTCGTCTCCTTCCCTCAGTGTGCGTGTGCGTGTGCGTGTGCGGCGTCAGTGTCACCCTTCAGTCTGGGAACTTCCCCCGGTGGAATGTGACCATTTTAAGACGCCCCCACCCGCCCCACCCTGCTCCACCCGCCGGCAGCCAATAATAGAGGCGTCAGCTGCGACTTTGGAGGGGGGGTTGAAAGGTGACCGCGGGGTGGAATCCTTCTCTTTAACCGGCGTGTCCGTGTCCTTGTTGGTTGCCGTGGTGATTTCTGGTTCCATTCCACTCGCTCTTGTTTGCCTCTGACAGCGGGAGGATGCACCCCCCACCCCTCCCATGGGGGGGGGGGCTCCATTCAGCCCACGATAAGCAGTGAAGTAACTCCAGCGTCTCCCCGTGTTCACACCTGGTTCATCTTCTGTTACAAGCAGGAATGTGTTTGTTCCTCCGTTCGGTCTCGATGTCTCTGGGCGCCGTTTGCTGTGTTGTGTAAAGCTTTTCTTCTTTTAAATGTACAGATATTAAATGTACAGATTTTATCCCTCCAGTATATCTGATATGCCCCCCCCCCCCCACAGACATCGTTATCTGACAAGATCTCCGTCCAATGAGAAGAGAGCATTTTGTGAGCCGACACAAAAGATGTCGAGTTTCAATAAAAGAGAAAAGACTGACGAGAGGAGAAGATGTCTCTTCTAAAAGAAGGGGGGGGGACACGGAAGGGACATAGTTTGTCCCCAGCAGCCGTCTTGGTCCACTTTTCCAGGCAATTTTTAACGCAAATTCAGTTGAAAACTTCAAAGTTGTATTGTGGCGCTCCTTCAGGATTGAACGAGGGGACGAGGGGACGAGGGGGGGGCTGAGATTGAAAGCAGGGTTGTGGTTGCAGCAACAAAGAGCTGTTTTTAGCCGGTCAGAAGCTACCTGGGAAGCTTTGTGTTGTTGTTGCCACGGTGATTTCCCTTTCTGCTCCGGGGCAAACTGGAGTCACGCCGTGGGGGGGGTCACTTGTGTTGTGACACACACACACACACACACACACACACATACACACAGGAGGGGATCCTCGGCTTCATGAAAGAGCCGAATGAATAACAGACCCACACACACACACACACACACACACACACACACACATTTATTAGCTTCCAAAGAAGCTTTTTACTGAGCTTCTGCATTGTTAGCAGATCCAAAGTCCCACCGTATATCAGCCCCCCTCTTTCTCCTCCATCTATCTATTGTACCCCCCCCCCCCCCCCTTTGGGTTCCTCTCGTGCTGAATCACCCCGCGATGAGCAGCTTTAGAAAGGATGAGCCCCCCCCCATCGACCTTTGAGTGGCACGTCTCCGTTTAAGCGTCTAAACTTGACTGATTCCGTGTGAAGCGCTTTTAGCTCTCGCTCTGTTTTTAATGTTTAATGTTTAGTGGTGAGCTGGACTCCCCCCCCCCTCCCCCTCCTCCCCCTCTCCTCCCCCCTCTAACCCTCCTTCTGTCTTTGTGTGTCTCCAAACAGATCTGTTAAGGCACTCGACACAATGGGGCTCCTGAACCTCTGAGGGGTTCAGCACAAAAGGCCGAAGGGGAAGAGGAACTAAAGCCGAGGGAGGAGGAAGAGGAGGAGGAGGAGGAGGAGGGAGAGTCTTACCCGGCGCCAGCCCAAAATAACAGGAGAGCGCTTTAGAAGGAGGGATTTGCTCTATCTGGTGGGGTCGCATGCCCCCCCGCCCCCCTCCAGTCCCTCCCACTTGGACATCCTCTTTTTTACTCCAGTGGTTTTTCCTCCTCGTGACCCACGAGAAGGAGCAGAATGCGCAGCGGAGCGAGCGCGGGACGCGCCGGGCCGAGCGGCGCCCTAAGCGAGAGCCCCCCCCGGACTGCAGCGCTGCTGCTGGGCCTGCTGCTGGCCGCGGCGGTCCGCGCCGACGTGGAGGTCGCCGCGGCGGTGGGAGGAGGCTACCTGGAGGCCTCCATGCACTCGTCGCTCCTCGGGGACTTGCCGGAGGCACGGCGAGGCGTCCGGGCGCTGGAGGACGTTGCCGCGGCGACGCAGCCGAGCCCGTCCGCGCCCGCCGCCGCCGCCTTCCCAGACTCCTCGGCAGCCGTTGGCCGGATCTTCCAGATGACGGTGCCGAACAAGCTGGAGGACATTTACCTTGGTGACATCGTCAAGGTGAGTCCACCCTGGTCTCTTTGGCCATGTGACCTAATCCGGCTTCCTGATTGGTCTGAATATCAACTGGTTGCACATCTAGACAGTTGTTACGTCATAGATCTGTACCACATACGTATGAAGGGCACATCGTCTCGGGGGAACTGGTAGTGACAGCGCCTCGTTAGTGGGAGAGGGGCGAGTGTTTTGGGGGGGTCGGGGTCGGGGAGCATCATCAGGAACGTGAGGCGGCTCATCTCCCCCCTCCATCTATCCATCCTCCTCCTCCTGGCTCTAAACTCCATTTGCTCGCCCCCAGATGTGACCCCCCCCCCCTCCCGTTTAATATTGTACACTTCCTGTCCTTCATCTTCCATCACCTCCACCGCTATCTCTCCACCCTGCTGGCCTTCTCTTCCTCCCTATCGTCGCTCCATCACGTCCCAGCCTTTCATAGCCTGTCACTGAACTTCCTCCCCCCTGCCTCCCCCCTGCCTCCCCCCTGCTCCTTTCTTCCAGCCCTGTCAAACCAGATCGTATCACTCAAGCTCCGCCAGTGACGAGCAGCATGAACATATACGCACTAATGAAAGCTTCACTGGAGGCACAAAGAAGGAGGAGGATAGAAACGAGGTCTGAACTATTGATCCGTGATCGGTACCGATCCCTCAAACGGCTGATTAAGGACACGTTAACCATCAGAGTGTAAATAAAGCTTCACTGACCTCGTTAGAAAGGCCTTTTATAGTTTCCCATCATGTGACATTGTGAACAACCAATCAGCATGAGGAGGAGCTAGTAACGTTAGCAGCACCGCTAACGACTAACAAACAGGTTCACCTCAGTTACCCTATGAGGCGTTCAGGCTCTGCTCAGTGAAAATGGGAACATTTTATAAACTGTATATATGTTTATATAAATATATATATTTTATAAACATACAATAGATGAATTATGATTTATTTAACTTAACATCATCCTTGATTTCTGGGTTTTTATGGATCCTGACTTCAGAGAGTTGACTTGATCAATAATCCTTGTGTTCCGATACGATCATCCCTGATTGCCAATTGATATTAGTGGCAAAGAAATGTGTTGAGGATCTCCTGACGCTGCATCGCCCCCTTTTTTCTTCTTCTATGGTGATCGGATCTTTGTCGTTGAGTTTTGGCTCCTCGGTGCCGGTTTATCTCCTCTTCTTCCTCTTCCTCCTCCTCCTCCTCCTCCCGTGTCTTTATTTTTATCATCCTGCTCGTCTTCTCTCTCCTTCATCACCTCTTCCTTCGTCCCTGCAGGCTGAGGCTGTTCCTCCAAACCTCATTCTATCGGTCACACTGTAAGCCCGTGGTGCCCCCCCCCCCCATGAAAACCAAAACGAGTTGACCGTGTGGTCGTAGTGGGAGGGAAGCACTGAATAAACAGGTGGTTTGAGAGCCCCGGGGGCCGGAAGCCTTTATGTGGTGGAAACCACCAAGCGTCCCGTCCTGAAGCTGCAGGGCGGGTTAAACGCTGATTGACAGGTCACCAACAGCTCATAAAGCAGGGGAGGAGTTATACATGACTGATATTTAGTATTGTTTCATCTCAGACAATTACTTCAGAAAATGTACTTTCTTTCATCTCCCTTTTTGCCTGTAATCCTCTTGAAAGACTCAACGCCTCCTCCTCTCCCCTCTCCCTCCACCCTCTCTCCCTCCTCCCTCCCCCCTCCTTCGCTCTGTGACCGTCCGCTCGATGTCCACAAACTCAGACCGCTTGTTTACTTCCTCCGTTCCCCCTCGCGTTCCTGCTCCCTCCTCCATCACAAAGTTCTCCCCCCCACCGTTTGCATCTGCCGTCCTTCCCCTTTTCTTTGGGTGAGAGTCCGACCCCCCCCCCATCACGTTCTGGAAGGTCAGTGCTCAAGGTTGTGGAGCGAAAGGCCAAATCGATTCCTTGTGCTTTGCGTCGCGCTCATACTAATGGCCTTTTCTTATGAAAATGTCCCGCAGTTTGAGGGGTCTCGAGCTCCTTGACAGCACCCCCCCCCCCTCGATGAATAGCGTGAAACTACCGATTAGCCATTCACACGGCGCAAAGACGCGGATTCTCGGTTGGGGAGGGGCTGGAGGGGTCGATGCTGCATGTTCATTTAAAACTTCATTTGACAATATTTATCTTCTTTCATTGATCCTTCCCTAAAAACCTTAAAAAGCTGCTTGTGGTTAAAAGACAATTAGTTATTTTCTGGGGACCAATTCACGTTTATGGCCGTTAACGTTTATTGCATCCTCAAGCCCATCAACCTCGTGTTAAAGCTGCATTCTCTGTAGTGACCAGCAGGGGGCGACTCCTCTGCTCCCATAGACGTCTACGAGGAAATGACTCTACTTCTCTGTAGTGACCAGCAGGGGGCGACTCCTCTGCTCCCATAGACGTCTATGAGGAAATGACTCTACTTCTCTGTAGTGACCAGCAGGGGGCGACTCCTCTGCTCCCATAGACGTCTATGAGGAAATGACTCTACTTCTCTGTAGTGACCAGCAGGGGGCGACTCCTCTGCTCCCATAGACGTCTATGAGGAAATGACTCTACTTCTCTGTAGTGACCAGCAGGGGGCGACTCCTCTGCTCCCATAGACGTCTATGAGGAAATGACTCTACTTCTCTGTAGTGACCAGCAGGGGGCGACTCCTCTGCTCCCATAGACGTCTATGAGGAAATGACTCTACTTCTCTGTAGTGACCAGCAGGGGGCGACTCCTCTGCTCCCATAGACGTCTATGAGGAAATGACTCTACTTCTCTGTAGTGACCAGCAGGGGGCGACTCCTCTGCTCCCATAGACGTCTATGAGGAAATGACTCTACTTCTCTGTAGTGACCAGCAGGGGGCGACTCCTCTGCTCCCATAGACGTCTATGAGGAAATGACTCTACTTCTCTGTAGTGACCAGCAGGGGGCGACTCCTCTGCTCCCATAGACGTCTATGAGGAAATGACTCTACTTCTGTGTAGTGACCAGCAGGGGGCGACTCCTCTGCTCCCATAGACGTCTATGAGGAAATGACTCTACTTCTCTGTAGTGACCAGCAGGGGGCGACTCCTCTGCTCCCATAGACGTCTATGAGGAAATGACTCTACTTCTCTGTAGTGACCAGCAGGGGGCGACTCCTCTGCTCCCATAAACGTCTATGAGGAAATGACTCTACTTCTCTGTAGTGACCAGCAGGGGGCGACTCCTCTGCTCCCATAAACGTCTATGAGGAAATGACTCTACTTCTCTGTAGTGACCAGCAGGGGGCGACTCCTCTGCTCCCATAGACGTCTATGAGGAAATGACTCTACATCTCTGTAGTGACCAGCAGGGGGCGACTCCTCTGCTCCCATAGACGTCTATGAGGAAATGACTCTACTTCTCTGCAGTGACCAGCAGGGGGCGACTCCTCTGCTCCCATAGACGTCTATGAGGAAATGACTCTACTTCTCTCTTGATTTATTCCCTCAGTAAACATGAGTTTATGTCTCAGTCTCTAGTTTCAAGTCTTCTTCAACACAACATGATGTTCATTTAGTGAATGATGCTCCAGTTAGAGTCAAACAGACCATACAGCAGGGGGTCGCTTTAGGGCGGGGCTACATGCTGATTGACAGGCCTCTATCAGACCTTAAAGCAGGTGATGTCTCTACGTCCTCCTCTTACATGACATCACCTCTACGGCCTCTCAAGATTAAAAGAAGTGGCTTATTAATATTAATAACCCCCCAAAAGAAACCTCTGATGTCACCACTGATAGAAAAGGTCCCAATGATATTTATCTACGAGATTTAATTAAAATTTGCAAAAGCCTGAACCAACATGAGGGCACAAGCGCCTCTTTTCCTGTTAATGGGTCATTTATAACTACAGTGACTGGCTGGTCGACCTCCTCTGAGTTGTTTAAGTGAATGATTCATTTTTACCTTTAGCCTTGTAACTAACCAGCTAACCTTGTAACTAGAAGCTGTGCTACAAACTCTCTACACCAGGAGTCTTCAACGTTTCCAGGCCAAAGCCCCCAAACTGAGATGCAGCAGGGACCCCCTGTTCAAGACATTTAAATGTGTGGGGGAAAAATTGGTTGAAAAAAAAAAAAAAAAAAAATTGTTTTATCAAGCACCAATTCCGCGACCCCCCCTGCAGAACCTCTACGGACCCCTGTTGAAGACCTCTGCTCCACACAGCTGATAAGTCCTGTCCTGAGGGACCTTTTGCGACGGAGGAATCTGTATTCAGGTGCTGCTGGGGGGGGGGGGGACTCTCCATAGCCTAATTACCACAATTCACCAGCTTAATATGCGGATTGGCTGATGGGTTTACTGGCAGGGCGATCCCACCCCCCTTACCCATATTCCTTTACGAGGACCACTTGTAGACCAGCTCCTTGGTCTTCACTTTCAGGACCTGGTTTCAGGGATCCTGCAGGATTAAAGTGGGGGAGGGTTCATTCCTGCGTTTACTGTCCCCACAAACCGGCGTGAGCGTCAAAGCTTTAGCTCATGAAGGCGTGTGCACGTTTGTGGGAAAATGTTGCTCTGCGTGTGCGTGTGCGCGCGTGCGTGCGTGTGTGTGTGTGTGTGCGTGTGTCAACACGCTCCCTCTTGATGAATGGAGACAGTAGCTTGCTGTAGTAAAGCCCCCCGGGGAGGGGGGGGGGGGGCGTCTGGTGGGAGAACTAACTTTCTCTTCCCCCCCCGTCCCCCCGTCTCTCAGTCCCTCCGTCCTCCCGTCCCTCCGTCCCGTTTACTGTCCTCGTTGCGTTTTCATGGCTTTGCAGTCGCTTCTCGTCCACGTTGCAGAACGTCTCTGGTTTCAGAGACGTCACAGTTTGCAACCTCAGCGTTTTCTTTTCACGTCGGCCACACGAGCAGCGATTACTGTCCCGCTTCTCGTCAACTCCGTCCCGCGGCCCCCCCACACGCCCCCCCCCCCGGCGTCATTGTGTTATTTAAACTCGTCTTAAAATAAACGCAGCGCTGTTCGTCATCGGCCTCCTCTCAGAGCACCTCCCCCCAGAAGCCCCCGTCAGCAGGCAGCAGTGGAAAACGGGTATTAAAGAGGAGGAGGAACATATGAGTCACCCGAGCCGCTCGCTTTCCTGGCAGCGCCCCACGCCGCCGCGTTGCTATGTGATTAAACACGCAGCAGGCAGGGGGGGTTCATGCACCTCAATCCATTCATAGTGTGCGTCGGTCGGGCTTCGGGGGTCGCGTGTCGCTCCTGGTGGGGTGTTGGAGGGGTCCGGGGGGGGGGGGTCGCTGCTGGTCGGGTGTTTGACGTGTCCGTGGGGGGGGGGTCGCTGCTGGTCGAGTTGATGCCTCCATGTCAGCGTCGTATTTCAGGGTCATTTGCATTCGACCTTTCAGAACAAACAGTCACAGCCGCTGTTTGTCCCCCCGTCCCAAGCAAAAACAAATGACCTTTTCCAAGTACAGTGAAAGTAAAGACTGCAGCGTCTTTGTGGGGGTTGGTTGTAGCCCACGGAGAGGGGGGAGGGGGGGGGTCCGAGGCCTGGAGAGCTGAGCCATATTTGGTGCCTGAAGGCCAGAGTGGCTGATTATATTTAGAAGCTGATCGCAGGTCGGACTGTTAAGGCAGCCCCCGCCCCCCCCCCCAGCGCGAGGACAACTGAACCCGGTCCGCACTGTGAGGAAACGTCCAACGGATCCTGAATATTAAGCGTTGTGTGAAACATCTGCCTTTTTAATTCGGGGCCATTAGGATCTGCTCCCAGTCCTCAGACCTGCAGTGGGGATGATGGTTCCTTAAACATCTCACGCCGACACGCCTCCAATGAACATCAGCAGACGGATTTATTGTCCTCCCATCAGTCACAATCATCGGCGGTTTGCTTCACAGGAGGAGGAACCTCTTTGGGTGGTCTCGGTTTTGTAGCGTGTTCCAAACTAAGGTTCTTCAAACGAAGGAGGAGGCGGAGCCACGGAGAGCGCCCGTCAGCGGAGTTCACGGCGCCGATCGTCATGGCGGCTTCACGGCTCACATGTCAGTGAGTTCAGAGATGAGGCGGAAAGATTCTTCTCTCATACAAAACGTCACATCGATGCAGCATATTTCACCTCTTCTGACCCAAGAACCTCCTCCTCCTCCTCCTCCTCCTCCCCTCGTCCAGCATCTCGCCCTCGTGTAACTGGCCTCCGATAAGGAAGCGTCGTCCTTGTGCTTTCAGGACCTAATTTATTCATTTACAGAGCAGTTATGCCCGATGTGATGAGATTAGCGCCTGGCAGCTCACTCGTCCTCCATCACCTCGCTGTGATTTGATTTGCAGTGTCGTGTCAGGAGGCAGTTGGTTTGAAGTTCGCAGGCAGAAGAACTTTGACCGAATTAAAGCGAACGTCGCTGGAGGAGACGTCATGTGACTACTTTTGGTTTCCCGTCGTTCTTCACTAATAACGTGACATTCGGGGTCTTACGTGTTGTTCCGGTGCACTTCCATGTTGGGTGGAGTGAGTGGTAACACACTCGTGTCACTTTGTGTCACTTTGTCTGTGTGCGTTTACGCGTGCGCCGCGCTGCCTGTGCTGGTTAGAGCATTAAGGAGGCGTCTGGGGACGCTGCCGTTACATAATTCATCAACCAGGATAATTTATTAGCTGCAGAATTAAGTTGTCGGGCCGCGGTGCCTTTTTCTTCTTCTTCTTCCTCTGGGTTTCTGTGCGTGGACGCGTCGTCCCTCCCCCGTGATCCATTTCCCTCCATCAGCCTCCTGCCGCGGGGACGTCCCCCGTCCTATAATTGGCCACGTTATTTTAATTTGAGTTGGGTTTAAATTACAATTCAGAGCACTGCTTTTGAATGTGTGTGTGTGTGATTGTGTGTACGAGTCGAGCTTCGTCCACACACACACACACACACACACACACACACACACACACACACAATGTCACCGCAGTAAATCCTGTGGTTTGTGACACAGCCGACCCTTTATTTCAGCACAACTTGCATCAATAACGCAGCATTTTACAATAAAAGAAGAAATATGGACCTTTGCGTGTCGATCCGACTGAATTAGTCCGACTTGTGATCGGTTTGACGTGTTGTAAGTCAACCGATGGTCCTGCAGGTGTTCTGACCCCTTCTGTGTTTTGCTGCTGTGTCAGGTCACGGAGACGGGGACGGACTCGCTCCCCGCCTGGCTGCACTGGGACGCCAGCAGCCGAGTCCTGCGGGGTCTCCCTCTGGAGGAGGACAAAGGCGTCCATTACATCTCGGTGACCATCTCAAACCACAGCGAGTCCTCCTCCTCTTCAGAGGTGTTCTCCATCGAGGTGCACCCTGAAGATCATGTGGACGCAGACGCAGCCCAGGTGGCATCCAACCAGGTGTCCACAGAAGACGACGTCCAGCCGTTCGCGTGTAGCAACGAGGCGCCGATCACGCTGCTGACCGTGATCCTGGACGCCGATCTGACCAAGATGAGCTCGGAGCAGAGGGTGGAGCTCCTGGATGACATGAGGATCTTCTCCGGCGTGGGGCTCCAGCACATGAAGATACTTCCTGTGGTGAACAACCGGCTGTTCGACATGTCTGCCTTCATGGCGGGGCCGGGGAATGCCAAAAAGGTGAGTGCAAGCGTGAATCCCGTTTCTGAACGCCTGGTTCTGTGGGTCAGTGAATGATACTTAAAATACATATTCCATGTTCGTAGCTGCATGATTAAACTAACACGTGTCCCCAGGTGGTGGAGAACGGTGCCCTGTTGTCCTGGAAGCTCGGCTGCTCACTGGACCAGAGCACCGTCCCAAATATCAGCAGCGTCCAGGGTCCTGCAAAGGAAGGGACGATGTCCGCCAAGCTGGGCTACCCGGTGGTGGGATGGCACATCGCAAACAAAAAACCCCACATCCCGAAGCGGGTGAGGCGCCAGTTAAACAACACCCCGACCCCTGTGCTCACGGCAGTCCCTCCAACAACCATCGTGGAGCCTCCAGTGAGGATTATCCCAACCCTCTCCTCTCCTTCTATCGCCGCACCAACCGAAAGCTCTGCTCCCCCTGTGAGGGGCCCCGTCCCCCTACCAGGCAAGCCTACAATCAGAATGCGTGACCCCGTTAACCACACCCCAACTCTGGCACCGCCTCTGCCAACGAGGGTTGTGGAGACCACCAGCACCATTGCTATCCAGCCGACCATGACCAGGCCTCCGTATGTGGAGCCCACTGCCACAGTAACGGCACCACCTAAAAGACCTACTAAGAAACCCAAGAGACCCAAAACCACACCTGTGACCAGGGAGCCAAAGACCTCCACGGCCAAGCCGGCCAGGCGCACCACACCATCACCTGCCGTCAACATTGACCCTTCCAACGAGAAGCCTGTCCTGCGAAACCCAATTGACCAGGTCAATGCATTGGTCGGCACCTACTTTGAGGTCAAGATCCCCTCTGACACCTTCTTCGACAAAGAGGATGGGACCACTGACAAGCTGCGTCTAACTTTGAGACAGAACCACAATGAAGTGGTCGGAGAGGCCTCCTGGATTCAGTTCAACACCACCAGCCAGCTTCTCTTCGGCCTGCCTGATGTCCAACACGTGGGGAAACACGAATACTTCATGCAGGCCACTGACAAAGGTGGCCTGAATGCTATTGACGCCTTTGAGGTTCGTGTGAACCGCTGGCCCATCAATGACAAGAGCCCAGTGATCTTCAAGGCCCGATTCGAAGGTGATCCACATTCAATAACAAATGACATCCACAAGAAGATCCTACTAGTAAAGAAGCTGGCCTACGCACTCGGAGACCGCAACACCAGTGCAGTCAGTCTTCGAAATATAAGCAAAGGGTCCATTGTGGTGGAGTGGACAAACACCAGCCTACCGCAGCATCCATGTCCGAAAGAACAGCTCACGGTCATGAGCAGGACGCTAGCCAGTGCTGACGGAAGGCCCTCGCAGACCTTCAGGCACTCTCTGGAGCCTGAATTCAGACCGCTGGACGTCACGGCCAAAGGCAGGGCCAGCTGCAGAACGTATTCCTTCATCCCACCGGGAGACATCGATATCCCAGAACCCGCAGCGGTCACGCCGGCTCTGGGAACGGGCCGGCAGAGCACAGACGACGTCTATCTCCACACGGTCATTCCCGCTGTGGTGGTGGCAGCCATCTTGTTGATAGCGGGCATCATTGCGATGATCTGCTACAGGAAGAAGCGAAAGGGCAAGTTGACCATCGAGGACCAGGCCACCTTCATCAAAAAGGGGGTTCCCATCATCTTTGCGGATGAACTTGACGACTCTAAGCCGCCTCCGTCTTCCAGTATGCCCTTGATTTTACAGGAAGAGAAGCCCCCACTTCCGCCCCCCGAGTACCCCAACATGGCTACGCCAGAGACCACCCCCCTCAACCAGGAGCTGCTGGGGGAGTACACTGCCCTGCAGGACGAGGACCCCAATGCTCCCCCCTACCAGCCACCGCCTCCCTTTACCACTCCCATGGAGGGCAAAGGCTCCCGTCCCAAGAACATGACTCCCTACAGATCTCCACCTCCCTACGTGCCCCCCTAAGACTTATTCCACCCTCCCCTCTCAGGGTGGAGGACGCCTGAGGAACTAACAGTCTCCATTCTGGTGTTTGTCTGACATTAACAGGGAGAGATGACAAGAGGTGCTAAAGTATTAAACAGCTACAGGGGACTTTGGTTTGGGAGGGGGGGCCGTGATGCGCTGGGTGTTTTTGTTTTTTACAGTTGACTCGTGGGGCGGTTTGTGGATGCAGCTGGGACGGACTACTGATTTAGAGGTAGCCCAGCTACTCAGTGGCCTAAGACAAACTATCCCTCGTCACGATGGTCACAAGCGACGATCGGGGGACGAGACCTTCCGTCCCGGCATCTCCTCTTCTTTGTTTTTACGCTTTACTCGTTTTCGGTTTTCCATCAATCCCGAGGTTACTACTCTTTTTTTCCTCCTCTGGACTGAACGTTTGTCTAACAGCTCTTCTTTCGTGTGGAGTCGGTGAGCTGCCACAGACCACAGCAAGCGACAACTCAAGGTTTTAATTAGGGGAGTGAGATTCTCTGAAAACGAAGGATCTCAAAACGAGGATGCAGACGACAAGAGAATGGGAGTGTGTGTGTGTGTGTGTGTGTGTGTGTGTGTGTGTGTGTGTGTGTGTGTGTGTGAGAGAATGAGTGGTTGTGTTTATTCAGATCCAATACAGTTTGCCTTTTAACACGGTCTGTTTTATCCTTATTCACAATGTCTAGTAAAGATGAGAATCAAAAGCCTAAAAAGAAGATTTAGAGATGGATGATAAGTCATTTGTTTCTTTCATTGGTTTTAAAATTCACCGTATATCTGGAAGACGTTCTGATAGATTTTGTTATATTTTCTTGGTGATGGAGGAAAGCGACTGCCTTGCTGAAATAACCTGAAGGAGCTCTTTATTCCTGTTTCCCATCACAATTACAGTTCTTTTAGATGAAAATCTCACCTGCATCTCAATAAAACCGTGTGCTTTTAGATTGAGGCCAAAGGTGCGGTTTTATGCAGATGATGTGGACCTTCACTCGGTCAGCAGGACTACGAGGGTAAAAGTGGAACGCCATGTCGGCCCCTTCGCGCCCGGACAGGAAAAGGACACCTGCAGGTTGTTTCTGACCAGGGAGGATTATTTTTGTACGTTTGTTGAGGCAGCGCTTCTCCTCAGTCGGAACCGGAGCTTCGCGCGCCGTGGAGGCTGTAGAGATTCTCACATTTAGAGGTCGCAGGAGACATTCAAAGGGGGAGAACTTTGAATTTCCAGCAATTAGCTCACAGAAAATCTCCTTCTAATTTTTTACCAGGTTTTTGATACAGCCTCAAGTTGTTTTTGATTATTAAAAGAAAACATGATTAATGATTAGTCTTCTGTGATTTGTAAAATCTTAGCCTAGAACTATAATTCAATTATGTACACTTTCTTTTTCTTTTTTCATGGGTCACATTTTCAAGTGTTATTGTTTTGTTGTGTGTTTGAATATCAAAATGTATTACCCACTTTACAAAGACGGACATATTTTATGTTATCCCAGATTTTATTTCTATGTCCTTTTACGTTTGCTAATGAGTTTCAACTGAAAGTGACCCTTTGCAATAATGATGTAAGACGCCGGCCGCTCGCTGGCTGGTTGATGCAGCAGTTGTCATCATATTGTTGGTTTTTTGCAGGATGCCAAGGCTTTTTTGCTTATCAAGTGTGCATTGTCATAATAAAACCAACTGGTACGATAAAAAAGATCAACCTCCTTCATTTGTGTATCTGGGTTTCACCTTCTTGCTGGTTGTTTCCATTTTCCAAACATGACTGATGTTCATGGATGAGCTTTTTGATCATGTCACTTTTCTTATTGTCCCGCTTAGCGTTGAATGGACGAATCAATATGTCATCTAGATCTCTGGCGCTGCTGCCTGGCAACCTTCAGCGGCCTGTGAGCTCGCTGTGCCGTCCCTTCTGTCCTAATTTGTTCTGCTATTGAGTGACTGGTGGGCCTGTGCAGTTTGAAGGCTCTGCTGTGAAACAGCCCTTCGGTCTCTGCACACATCGCCGGCCATCCTTTGCATTGATTGCTCCCAGTATCGATTCCATGTAAACAATTGGGCTGGCATCTGTTGCACGTCCGGAGTCGTTCGTGCCGGGGTTTAATTTGGGGGGAGGGCAGGCGGCGAGGACGAGTGCGTCACCAAGACGCCGCTAGACGCTGAAACGGATAAACGGATAAATGCCAAATATGAATGGCGGTCTGATTGAGACGAGATGTCCTTCAGAGGCAGAGGGGGCTCAATCAAGACCGTCATGATAATATGTCAAATGACAGTAAATATACGTATTTCAGCCCGTAGACCACGAGTCACCGTAGGACGGCACGAGCACGTTCTCATCTCAAATGTGCTGGAAAATGTGATTGGAGGATTCTGGAAGATTATAAATGTGCTGAGGTTGCATTTCCCCCCCCGGGCCTTAATCAGCCGCCTTCAAAGCACCAGACGAGCTCAATCCATCACAGGGAGGTTTGCTGAGAGTGATTTGTGGAGCCTCTTTGTCTGCGTCCCGTCGCAGCAGGATGAAACAGTCCGACCCCGACGGCGAGTCCTTCCGCGTCCACGCCGAGCGACGGCGGCCGCTCGTCCCGGTTTATGTAAGGTCCTCGTGAATGGAGAGGCCTGGTTGGTACTTCATGGAGCCTCTAAGAATAGCCGAACTGTACTTGATAAATAGGAGTACTTCCCAGAATAGAACAGTGCCCCAGAGTGGCATCAGTTATCAGCAGTGAAGAGCCGGGTTCCTATTCTCTGAATTCTGATTGATTGAGCTGGATGTTTATACTGAGGAGATTCAGTTATAGTACATTTCCACATGAAGAGATGATGTATAAGTGCTAGAAAGAGACTCACAAGTCAAAAGAAATTAGAACTTAAACCGTGTCCAACTTATTTTATGGAAATGTAGAAAAATGAGCACAATAACTTTGTCTTTGTCATTTTCTAAATGAGAGCATGTGAGTTATCGGTGAGGAACGTTGACCCTGTTTAGGGGCGAAGCGGCTCTCCACCTTCTGAGGGTCCGACCGGCGAAGTACGTGGGCTTCTTCTATTAACCGATCATGGACACGGTCTCAGATGGTTCCTCTTCCGTCCCGTCGTCCTCTGGCTAAAACAACCAGACTCATCTTCACCAAATATTGGTCTCACTACGGTCTTTAAGTTCAACTTTCAAAGCGACTCGATTCTCCTCTCAAACCCTCATTTCATATTGCTGGTTTGGGGCGACCGCCTCCTCCCCCACGGTGAACTCTGTCCTCTGAGACCTCACAGATGGACCATGTCAACACCACGAGGACGACAATGCAAGAGCAGCCGGATCCTTTGAAGGTCTCACTGGGGTCTGTGGAGCCTCCAGAATCCACAGGCAAAGGAAGCTGTAACGTTACGTCATGCAGGAGACGTTCAGTCACGTCTTAGAGACCCTAGTCTGTGTGAAGACTTAAGCCGTCCCAAAAGCGTCCTCGCTTCATGGTCTGTTTGACTAATGACTCTGCTCTATACTTTACTAAATGAACATCATGCTGTACTGAAGGAGACTTGAGACGAAGGTGGAGAACCATTAGCTGTGTCCCTCATTCCCCGGCCTCGAATGTGTCTTTTGGTGCTTGTCCGTCCACTGATCCGGCGTGTCCACCTGGTCGCGGGACGTGTGGACAGACACTTGTCTGATTCCCAGCGGTTTTAATGGAGGCCACTGTGCGTGAAGCTCCAGTCCAATCACTCATCCTGTCACCGTGAGTGTTGTTGACCTCGTGTCCTCCAACAGAGGTGTGTGAGTGTCCCTCCTCTCCTTTAGTCCCGCCCCCCTCCCCCGCACGGCGGGTTCACCTGTCGAGGTCACTCTGACGCGCTCACACCTCCGGGTCCTCGATCCATCTGAGCCGCACGTCTAAAGGACTCCTCACAGACGGGACGTCCAGGCGGGGAATTGAAGCGTTGACCTACTTGAGCGGACAAATGACCTGAAGGCGTTTGTTCGTGACCGCAGTGCCTCTTGTTCGCTTCCGTTCATCAATCCCGCGCGTCGAGGACGTCTGATGAGCAGCATTACGACGTTACAATGAGCTGCAGGCCCAGAACTCTATAAAAACACATTTAAACACATTTCACTTTGATTTAATGGAGCCAAAGCAGAAGGTCGCCAGTATGAACGGAAGCTACCATCGACGCTGTAGAAGAAGGACCACCTCACGGAGGCTCCGCTTCGGTAAATCAAGTGTTAATAATAATAATAATAATAATCGACATGCGCGGCCCTCCAGCCATGTGGTCTTATCTCACGTGTCTGGACCAGTTGGATAAATCCCAGTGAGCGAGACTAACAACATTCACACTGCGGGAAACAAACATCACAGCTCTGGTTTATTACTTCTCACACGCACACACACACACACACACACACACACACACACACGGTTAGCATTCTGTCTCAGCGTGTGAAGCGCTGCTCATTTGTGTGTTGATAGCGTGTAATCTCCCAGGTGCCTGGTGGAATCTGTGAGCACCGTCCTCCTGACATTTGCAGAATGCCAAGCGACGCCGCGCTCCGCTGTCCAAGGTGGAAGCGTGTTGTGCCGGTGTGTGTGTGTGTGTGTGTGTGTGTGTTGTCATGCCTCAGTGTATTTGTGCGACTGATTCGGTTGCGTGGGCCGTTCCAGCGACGTCACAGTACCACAGAGCTCAAAGTCAGAGCCACTACCTGCGTCACTCACACTGCAAATCACTCAGACTACAACGTCATTCACCATTTTCACTGAATAGAGCTCGAAGTGAGAGAAAGAAAAGTGAGTTATTCTGCCACACTGAGGGAGCAGCTGCTGCCACACAGGCGCCGGCCTGCAGGAAGATGTCGGGTGTCTCGCTCAGGGGCACTTTAACACGTGGAGCAGCTGGGGTTCAAACCTTCAACCCTGCGGTCACCAGGGCACCTTCTCTTTCTGTGGCCGAGACAAGGGGCCCCGCGCGCTGCAGTTAGCACGCTAGCTGGCTAACCGGCCAGCTTCAATGCGTCCTCCGTACGATACGGTTTCCTCCTCTCGTCCCACGAGGTGTCCGAGGGATTAAGCCCATGTTTGTCATCTTTGTGTCTGACAGGATTTTAGTTTTATAAACTTTCAACAATGCTTGAGTAGTTATATTTCATAACCACAGCTAAAAGTCATTTCTACCACAATAACTGGATGTATGTCCTTCTGCTTTATTCTTGTAATGGTTTCCGTCCCGTTTGGGGCGAAAGGGACCAAAGAGGCTTTGAGATAAAACAAACTGGAATGGAACAAGCTCCAAAAGGTGCCGCTGCTCCTTGTTAAAACGAGCTCACAGGACTCCAATGATTCAGGTGCCAGCTGCGCGTAACATCTGTTTTAACGGCGGGTCAACGATCGATTTGAAACCACAGACGCCGGTTCTGCCCGAGCAGAGAGGCTTTCGTACACTGAGCGATAATATATGCGAGATATCTCCCCGTGTCAAGGACAGAAGCGCTGCTCTGACTTTGACGGAGGTCACTTCGCCCTGTGGCGTCACGCCACTGAGTGTTATCAGTTTAACACGGACCCCCTGAGACGTGTC